GGATTCTGTGTGTGGGATGGTGGGAAAGTGGGTGTCATGGGGTGGGGTTTGGAGAGGGACACGGCGGGGGGCGGGGGGAAGGGTGCAGAGGGAGGCCTCAGATCAATGATGACCCTGAGCAGATTCACGGGGGTCAAGCCTGCGGCCACCACAGCCAAAAGGATCCAGGAGAGAACGATTTCTCTGAAAGAGATGGGGGTGAAGGCACATCCTAACCTTGTGCACCAGGCAGGGCCATCCAGTCTGGGCCCCAGGCTGGGCCGCCAATCAGGGAAGAAGTGACTACTGGCTTTGGGAGGCAGGCAGTTATGGTCAGCCCCTAGCTGACCACACAGGACAGTCCACATGTATCTCTGGGTTGGTGGGGCCCCCCCCAAAATGTGGGAGAGAGACCTGGAGCTCCAAACACACAGAGATAAACTGAAGTTAGGGGGATAAAGATAGAAGGATGGAGCAGTGACACCCATCCCATCTACATGGAGCACTTGCTGCATTTGATCCTCAACAGCTGGTATTTCCCCCATTATGCAGATAGGAAGACTGAGCCCCAAGGAACAAAATGCCTTGCTAGGAAATAACAGGGCTAAAGTTTGATCCCAACTCTAAGTCAGAATCCCATGCTCCTATCCCCCACCCTCTCCACCTTTTCCCAGTTCACTGGATTCACCAGGGAGCATCTTGAAAGACCATAGGGGCTGTGGACACCTCCTCCAAGTCCTTAGGCCAGAAGGAGGGGGAGAAAATTAGAGAGGGGCAGGGTCCACTTCCCTCCACTGCCCAGTGTGTACTCCCAGGTTCCCCCCAAAAAAGTAAGCTTTGGGTCCCCTGGCAAGGATGACAGACTCCTGGCAGTGTTCAGAGCCCTGAATGATAGTATCTAGGCTTTTCCCAGGGCAGATAGGGCTGAGCTTGCCCTGCCTGGGAGGGGGCGGAAGACAGAGGAGATCCAGCAGCAAAACCCTGTGAAACAGGAAAAAATAATTGGTTAAGATGAGAAATGACTTCAGCGGACCCACTTCTCGGTAAATTTCCAGAAGGGAAGTCGAGCTTCACAGTAGCCCTGCCAGCCCCTCCTGAGTAGGCCAGAAGCTGGTTTCTTGGGATGGGGGTGGGTGTGGAGACCTCATTACTCATTTTGATGGCTGGGGCACCTGGAGAGCTCAGCATGGAGCCCCTGTGTAAGGCACTGTCTCCCCAGTAGGAACTGTCTACTGCCCCATTACTATGAAGACAAAGGGGCTTCACAGCTGCCAAGCAGCAGAGCTAGGATTTGAACCTGGGTCTCTGTGGGGCCAAATCCCAAGCTATCTACCCCAAGACTCTACCCCTTCCCTCTGTGACTGCTTTTCTGAATGCTTACTATGTGCCAGGCTCTCTCAGCAATTTCCAGCCTCATTTCATTGTCTAACTACTACATATTTTCCCCTCTTTACAGGTGAGGAAACTGAGGCACAGAGCGGTTACATTGTACCCCAGATCTCACAGCTAGCCAGTGGTGAGTTGGGGCTTGGAGCCCAGGGCCCTACCCCCACCCCCACTTCCTCTTGAGGCACCTGCGACATGCCAACTTTTAGGCATCCTTCAGGATCCAGCTTTAAGTTCCTCAGTGAAGCTTCCCTGCCCCTAACTAAGCCAGTCAATGTCAGAGCACCATGAGTGTCCCCTTGAAAGCGTCCCCTATGGAAGTCAGTGATTGTGCAGTTCTAAATTGTGTGTAAACTAAAGGGCCCCAAGGGTTTTGTCCTCTACCCACCATTTGTGAATTTGACAGTGCTTGTGCACCTCACCTGCATGCTGGGAACAGTGGTGTGCCCCTGTTTTGCCCCAAGTGCCTGCCTGCCCCAGGTGTTGTGAGTCCCTCTGGCCATCTCATTATCACCTCTCCTGCCTGGCTGCTCTGCTGGCACCCCTGCTCTGACTGCTGGGCCCACACTGCCACCCGGTGGCAATTCCTTTTATGGTTTCACTTGCCAAATCTCCATAGATTTTCCCTTCCAGGATAATCCCTCCCCTGTACTCCAGGGATTGGCCTTGCTGCAGGATCTCCCTACCCCTCCCCACCCAGAACAGTCCCAAGATGGGTCGGTCACAAGAATACATAGCAGTGTCTTCCTCCAAGTCTGGCTCATTTGGTTTCTATACTCTCACCATGTGCAGCCTCTCCTCTCCCCAAAGGACAGTCCACAGGTGTATGTGTGTGTGAAGGGGTGGGGGGATATGTTCAGCCCCTCACCCCTTAGGCACACACTGGACCCCTTCATCTCTGTAAGCTATTCCAAAGGGCTCGGCCCCTGTCCCCTTAGACATACAGCTATCACCGAGGGTTGCGTGGCAGAGTCTGCCACCATGAACCCACCCCTGCCCCAATCCAGCCATCCCGAATACTGAATCCTCCCATCAGTGTGCAGTTGGATGTGGCAGATGGTCGTTGGAACATGAGCAGCAAGGGGAAACCATGCATCCTGACTCTCCTTGGTTAAGTGAGCAGTTGCAAAACATCTATGATGGACCCAAGTGGGGAATGTGTGTGCTTGTGTAAGCATTGGCATTGGCTATGGAGACTGCAAGAGGAGAGGCATCACCATTACTTACTTTTTACATTTCTGTATGGTTTGAATTTATTATAACAAGCAAGTTTTACGCAATTAAAAATTTTAATATAAAAAAGAGACCAGTTAAACAATTACTATTACAGGGGCCAGCCCGGTGGCGCAAGCGGTTAAGTGCGCGCGCTCCACTGTGGTAGCCCGGGGTTCGCCGGTTCGGATCCCGGGCGCGCACCGACGCACTGCTTGGCAAGCCATGCTGTGGTGGCGTCCCACATAAAGTGGAGGAAGATGGGCACGGATGTTAGCTCAGGGCCAGTCTTCCTCAGCAAAAAAAGAGGAGGATTGGCAGATGTTAGCACAGGGCTGATCTCCTCACACACACAAAAAATTATTACAAAATTTTTAGAACAATTGTAATCTAACTCCACTTTTAGAAAATAAGATATCTCAAAGACCACAGCATACATTGATATGCCCTTGGCTGGGACAAGGAGCCAGCCTCCATCCCCAGCTGCCTAGCACTCTGCTTATGAGTGGGACCCTGATTGTCCAGAATAAGACCTTGCTTAGCTTCAGGTTTGCCTGGCCCAAACCGGTAGCCTCCAGAGGGAGGATTCTTCTCCAGTCTCCGAGCAGAGATGCTTCTGGATCACAGGTCTTCCTCCAAGGCTCTGAGATCTTGGATCAGATTCTCAGGTAGGGCTCAGGGACAGAGGTTCTGGGTCCACCTGGGCATAAATGTGTGTGTGTGCATGCATGTGCATGCCTTTGTGTCTCTGTGCGTGTGCATGCACATGTGTAAACGTGATTGTGCATATATGTGTGTATATGTGAACATGTGTGAGAGTATGTTTGTACATGTGGATGTGGGAGGGGAGCAAGGAGGCACATGAGAGGAAGGCATAGTTTGAGGGTAAGAGCTGGGCCCTGGAGTTGTTCTCGGGGAGTTGGGATGGGGGCTATGCCATGATAACTAGTGACCTTAGGCAGGGCTTGACCTCTCAGGGCTTGTCTGTCTTGTATGTCTGTCCTGTAGGCCACGTGGATGGGTACAGCCCTCCCTCCTCCAGTCCCAGTGAAGTCATGGGGTGCCCAGGTAGAGCACCCACCCAGCGTCTGGTCTGAAAGAAGGTTCAGTACCGTCAGTTAAGGCTATCATCAGGGTTTCTGCTTCACTGAACCCTGCTAGCTCGAAGGTCACCTCAAGGAGGCAGGAAAGAACTCCCCACACCCTCATCCAGCTCAATGCCAGCACACAGTGGGTGCCCACTCTCCAGGACCTGCAGCCCAGGCGTCCACGGTGGGTGTGTGTTAGGGCATGGGGGCGCCCTCACAGGGCCCCAATCCCGAAGCCAGAAGAATGGCTCAGAGACACCTATGGGTGAATCCGAGGCCGCGGTGCCTGCAGCCCTGCCGGTGGCCTGTAGATGGCAGCAGAGGCACGTGCAGGGATCCTGCCCCAAGTCGCACCTTCCCAGTCCCAAGCGAGCCACCTCAGGTGGCTCAGTTCAGGTCCCTCAGCCTCGGGACTGGAGGGTGGGAGGGATGTGCAGCGGTAGTACAGATTTTCCCAAGGAGACAGCAACAGCCCCTGCGGCTCTAGACAAGTTGTTTCTTTTCCGGGGCCCTCAGTTTCCTCATCTGTGAAATAAGAGTTAACAGCCTGTGATGGGAAAACTGGCTCAAAATATGGTCAAAATATGTAAGGTAGTCTAAGATGGGCTCAGAATAGAGACCTAAAGGTGGAAGGGAAACACATAGCTAATGGAGAATATCTGTCACTGGAGTAGGGGGAGGAGGCTTTTTGAACATGACACCAGAAGCCCAAACCATAAGGTGAAAAAAATGATGGATCTGACCCAATAAGAATTTAGGATTTCTGGTCTAAGGAAGCTGCATCCCAATGGAAAAATTAAGCCACAGATATGAGCAGGAGATGCACAGAAAGGGAGAGATGTCAGTGCCCGGGAGACGCCCAGAGCTACCAGGGACGAGAGAGACGCGAATCACAACGAACTACCATTTCACTGGGCATGTCGGCAAAAATTCAGAATTTAGGTAGACTGGCGGTGGGCCACCACTAAAGAAGTCGCAAGCCTCTCAAGCCATATAGAAGGGCCGCCTGGCAGCGTGCAGAGAAAACACCCAACTCAAGTGGCTACCTGAGGTTCCAAGAGAAACACGACTTCCTGCGCTGTCACTTGCTAGGTCGCTGGTAAAATTCAAGGCTCGCACTGCCCATGGGGGACCCGGCTGCGCACGGCCCCCACTGCCTAGGAGGTTTCCGCCCCCTCGAGAAGCCACGCCTCCTATTTCTGTCTCTCCCCCCCACACACCCTCCCTTCTCTGGGGCGGGGCCTCCCAAGGGCTCCGGCCCCGCCCCGTCCTGCCCGAGCTCGCCTGGCCCTTTAAGGCTGACCGAGCCCGGCCCCAAGTTGGGGAAGCGTGGGGGAGGGGGGGCGGTCACGTGGGCCGCCGGCGGCGCGACTCCGCTCAGGGAGCTCGTGGCAGCCGGCTCCCGCGACCGCCGCCCTTGCCCCTCGCCGGCGCCGCAGCCAAGTGCACTGCCGCTAGGTATGCTCTCGGCAGGTACGCCCTCACTGGGCCCCTCCACCTCCCGCTCCCCAGACCTCGCGGCCACTCCGCGCCCAGCCCCTTGCCCTTTTGACAGGTGTCCCGGCCGGACTCGCTTGTGCCCGGCTGCGCCACCACCGCCCCCTGCCGGGCGTCCGTACTCGCAGGCAGTTCGCCCCGCATTCCCGGCCGTGTCCCCGGCCCGTAGCCCAGTCTGGCTCAGGGCCTCCAAGGCTGGGGTGTATTGGAGGAATCTGAGCGGAACTCACTCTTCTCCTCTTCCCCAGGTGGCCCTGGACGCGCCAGGCTGGGGCCGCCTGTGAGCGCCCCGCGGGGGCCATGGATGTCGAGACAGCAGACGAGCAGGGGGGCCCCGCGCCACCGCCAGGTGCACCCTGCGGACTCGGCTCAGCCGGGGCTCCGGCCCTCGGGGGACGGCGGGAGCCCAAGAAGTACGCAGTGACCGATGATTACCAGTTGTCCAAGCAGGTGCTGGGCCTGGGCGTGAATGGCAAGGTGCTTGAGTGCTTCCACCGGCGCACCCGGCAGAAGTGTGCTCTGAAGGTCAGTAACCCCTCACTGCCGTGTGGGTGACGCGGAGGGCCCAACAGCGGAGGCCTGTGGGTGCACGATATGCCCAGGGCCCCTGCTAAGCTTCTTATGCTCAGTATCACGTTTCATCCTCATATTCCTCTGCAGGGTCAGCTCCTGGTCTTCCCCGCTTTACAGATGGGGAAACTGAGGCTTAGCCTAAGCTAAGCTCAGGGTGTCCCTGGGAGCAAGGGGTGGAGTCAGTGTGGGTAGAGCCTGCTGTACCCGGAAGTAGAGGAGTGGCTCCTGACTCATGTTCTGGCTGGGCCTATGTGTTGGGCCCCAAGGGGGGCCGTCACTCAGTTTAGCTGCTCCTTCCATGAAAAGATCTTCTGACTGGAATGAGTTTGAGTTTCCCTCTGCCTGATGCAGAGTCCCCACCAAGGCTTGGGGTAGGACTACTTTCTCCTGTGGCCCCTGCCTGCCTAGTCTGGAGTGGTGGGAGCCTCCCAGGGCTGGCTGGTGGGCAGGGCTTGCGCCCATCTCACCCCTGGGCAGGAGGCTGCTGATAGGCTCCAGCTGAGTCACCGACCCCATGTTGAAAGAGGCAGGCCCTGCTCCAAGCCCGATCCACCCCAGTTCCTGGGCAGAGGGCTGGCCAGCCATCTAGCCATGTCACCCACAGGCTCCCTGGAGGCCTGGCTAAGACCTCACTGATACAGGTGGAATCCCAGGAGTTCTGGGGGTGGCTGATCTAGCCAATGTAGTTCTGGCTTAAGTCACTTAGTTCTGGGCCCAGGACCCTGCCCTATACCCGGAATCCCTTGAATTTGTCATCACTGGGAACTTGACTCAATTGCAGCTTGTGCCAGCAGCCACCTGGATGGGTAGAGCATGGCAAGGAGAGTGGCTCCTGGAGGTTAGAATGCAGCAAAGGATCTTCCCATCTTATAGACGCTGCAATTATGAGCCTGAGCTCAGAGTCCTGTAGATGTGGCTCTGATCTCTGGCCTGCATTTGCCAGCTCCATGACCTTGGACTAGGTCCTGGACTCTTGAAACCAGGTTTCTGCCTCTGTTCAGGGGAAAAGATAAGGGGTTGATGTGAGCTTGGAGTGAGATGATGTGCTTAGGGTGATTGGTACAGGGGCTGGTACAGGCCTAGAGAGGCTACAGGACTTATTTAGGGCACAGGGTCTACAAGTATCTGAGCAGGGACCTGGGCCCAGCTCCCTGTGTCTTTCCCGGAGGTACGAGGGCTGGTAGAGGGGTTGTCTCCCCTGGGTAGTCTTGGAGGGGATCATGAGGATGGGTCCAGAGGAGGCTCAGGGCTGGGCTGGTGACGCCGGGTCCCAGGCACAGCTTCTTCACCTACTAACTCAGCAGTGGAGTGGGGTTGGGGGACCCTTTTGGAGCCCCAGGCAAGGGATTCTCTGAGTCCTTTAGGGAAAAGGTGGCTCTTGTGAGGGGGATAGGGGCTAAGGGGGTGAGAAGTGAGAGTTTCCACCCCCTCCCTCAGCACCATCTCAGCCCTTTCACCTATTCCAGGGTCAGGGGGCAGTTTGGGTGGGCGAGGGGCTGACTGAGAACTTCTTAATACCGAGGCTTTGGCACTGTGAGCCAAGGCTGAGCTCTGACCAGTCCTTGTGGTGCTCCCGATGCTGTGAGTGGGGCAGGGATGGAGTGGGAGGCCAGAGTTCATGGGCCCAGGCAGCACCAGCTTTAGGTAGGGCTGGGCCTAGGCCCTTCCCCATAGGTGTTATGTCTCACAAGTGACTTGGGGAACTTCCGGAGCACCTCCTCTTGAATCTAGGGCCTCAATGCTTTCTCTGTTCTGGACTGGGAACAGGGGCAGGCCTAGAACAGACCCCTTACTCTACACTTTTAGGTTTTATGGGTGAGCATGGCTAAGATTACTGGCTTGGGACCTTCAGGACCTGACCCTAACTTGGCCCTCAAGGGGCACATGGATTAGATGTGACCTCCACCCCAGCACCTTCCTGTTCTTGCTCTTTCCTACTCCCCCTCCAGTGACCAAGCCTGGAAGTCCCTATCCAGCTACACAGGTCCTCACTATCTTCCAAGATGGGACTAGCACAACCTCTGGCACATCATACTTGTACTGTGAGTGGTGACTCTAGCCTTGAGGAGGGAGGTGGCATTTTTCTGCCTATAGCCTTTGCCTATAGGGCCAGGACCTGGAGACCTCAGCACATGGGCAAGCTTGGGGCCAGGGAGCTCAGTCAGTCCATGAATGGGTCTTAACCCTCTCTCTGCCTCTGCCTAGCCTTCTCCCCAGGTGCCTCAGGTCAGCCTAGGTGGAGGCCCTGGGCTCTGTCTTTCTGCCTCCCCAGACCTACATCCCAGGTTCCCAGGCTAGGCTGTCCTCATCTTGTAGCCTGGACTTGTTCAGGCCATCTCTGCCCTTCTTGGTGGTCCAGGCCCAGTGTCCTGGCCTGTTTCCATGCCTGTTTTCTTGGCCCTGTTGCCCAAGATGGCAGATAGTGCTTAACATGAAGGCTGGAACTCAGCAGGCACTCATAAAACAGGAAGAGCTGTGGTCACTGTCCCTGTAGCTGTTGCCATTCTATGGGGGCCCTAGAGGAGCAGGCTCTTCCTTCTCGGGGAGCTGGGCCTCTTCCCCTTTCCCTCAGCTCCTGACCACTGGCTTGGTCCATCTTGGCCTCACTCACACTCAGCAGCTCCCTCCCTTCTGCCTCTAGGGCAGTCATTCACTCTCCATTCCACCCTAAGCACTTGCTGCTGTTCCCTTGGCAGGAACTGGAGGACTGCCTGCCAAGTATGGGGGGCAGGGGACTGCCTCCTACTGACCTTGCCTGTGCCCCTTCCCAGGCCTAACTGGTTAATTGGAACCCCTTGGCTTCACTCCTAACTGGGCACAGCCCTGCAGATCTGTCCCCCTTCAGTCACCCCACCACATCTGAGACCCAGCCCCTCCATCCTGATCACATATATGAAAACTGGGACCTGGAGTTAGTGGTCAGAAGTCAGGTGGCTTGATTGGGATGGGGAATTGTAGCAGAGGCCAGAATTGCCTCCCCTGACTTCCTGCCCAGCCCACTTGTCCTCAGCCTCCTGGCAGGCAGAAGTGACCATGGCACTTAGATAAATAAAAGTAATAAAAGGCCTTGAGACAGAGGCGTTCTGCCTGTGGGAGGAGAGGTGGAGTCTTCTTTTCTGCCCCTGCTCTCTGGGCTCTGGGGCTGGGGGCCCTCATCTCTGGCCACTGGAGCATCCTGGAGTCCCCCCAGGGCTCCCAGTGCCCTCTTCTTCCTTTCTTTGTCAAAGAGAGTGGAGTAGTAGAGTGCTGGATCCACATGCCCAGGAGATCCCTGCATTGTTCCACGGATCGGGCTGGCCTGTTCGAGCTGGTGCTGCGGAGCTGGATTTGAGGGTGTGTGGGGCTGCCGGGCAGGTCAGGTACTTTCTCATGTGTCGGCTGCCACCCCCTCACCTACCATCTCCAGACCGGTCAGATCAGCCTCTGCAGGGCCACTTGTTACTGAGTCAACAAATCAGGAAGTGGAGGGGCTGGCGGCCCTGTACAGCGGAGTCCTCAGTAGTGGTTTTCCTGCTCCCAAGCTTCTCCCCAGGCTCCCCATCTCCTGGAAGGAAAGAATCTGGGGAGCTCCTATGCTACCATGCTGGTGGAGTCTTCTGAACTGCCAGGGGTGGGCAATTTGCTTTTTAAACGAGGATCCTAGGGAGAGCATCAAACTCTAAGAAATGCAAATAGTGGAATTTTTAGCAGAGGTTGATTGTTTTGAGATTCTTCAACCCTGGCCAGCTGGCCTTGCTCACAGCTTTAGAAGCTGCACTCCCAGCTTACTGTCAGAATCCGCTCTGCTGGGACTTCCAGGATCTTTTTCCCATCCCACCCAGGAATTCATGTCACCCCTCCAGGCTTCAGGCCTTGGTGTTGCGCATTCTAATATTCTCATAAATGGCTAACGGTTTTCCAGAGAGTTCTGTCTGGCAGGCCTTGTCCCCAGTGCACAACACATGTTGTCTTACCTAACTCCTGTCATTCCCATTTTATGGATGGAGACACTGATATTCAGAGAGGTGAACGACTTGCACACAGCTGGTGAGTGGCAGGGCTGGAATGTGAGCCTAGGCAGTTTGATGCTAGAGTCTTAGCATCTAAGTCATCCCTTGCCTCATGCAAGTCTATGAGAGGACATGGGAGGGTCTCTGAGACTTGGCCCCTGGAAGGATGCTGGCATCATCCTCCATGGCTCCACTGGGAGCTCTGGCAGCCCCAGCTGGGCGCCAAGTGATGCTGCTGGTGTTTGTCTATATCTGCCCAACTCTCTTCACTGTATGGGACTCTGTGCTTATGAGTGGACAGGTGGTGGTCCCACAAGGCCAGCACACAAGGACCATGATGGCTATGGGCTTGCCTCAGAAAGGTTGTGTGGTTCATCTCAAGCCTTGTGAGTCTTAGACAAGCCCAGCCCAGCAGAATCCAGAGTGCCACAGGCAGGAAGTCGGGTTGGTGAGTGGGCGAAAGGAAACTGTGTCAGGGCTGGGCCAGCCAGGGGAGGCTTCCTAGAAGAGACTGCCAGCTTTCATCCAGGTCTCTGGTCTGAGAAGGATGTGAGTGACAGAGGAGGACACAGGGTGTGTGTGACAACATGCCCTGGTTTGAACAGCTCAGCACCTGCTGTGGAGTACCACATCCCTGCTCACAGTCTCGTGTCTGGCAGGGTGTAGCTGATCTCAGCAGGGCTGATGTCCGGGCCCTGACAAACCCCTGGGGAGCTGTGGAGGGACTAAAGGGCTCTGTGGAAGAAGAGGCATTCTCATAGGGCCTTGAAGGATGAGGAAAAAAGGTTGGCAGGTTGAGGAAAAAGGTTGGCTCCCTCTCCATTTGCCCACAGCTCAGAGTCATACCTCACCCCACGAGAGGCCTCTGTCTGTCTTTGGTGCCCTCCCTCACTAGGTAGGCAAAAATCCTCCCTCCTCCCCCCAGAGCTTTCTTTCATAGCATCACCAGGACCCTTGTGGAGG